CACTAATGCAATTAACACCATCACAGCAGAAGAGATCCAAGAGGTACTTAGGAAATACTTCAACAAATCAGCACCAGGACTGTTAGGAATTCCTTATATCACAATAAAAAAACTTACTAAAGAAATAATAAACCATATCGCAGACCTCTTCAATAATGTACTACAAACAGGCAAAGTAACAAATGAGTGGAGTCAGGGTAGTATACTGTATATCCCATCCTTAAATCAAAACCATAGGAAAACAACATCAATATAACATGACCGATTATTCTTCTTGAAACAATGCAGAAAATATTCATAAAAATCATCAACATCAGATTAGCTAAAATTCTCACCACCCATCAAATCTTATCTGAGCACAACTGAGCAGCCCTCCTAGATTATAGCACACAATAACCCATTCATATAATTAGAGCAATCCAGGATGATGCAAAACAACATGGAAACAAAGCATGGATCCTGAGCCTACACATGGCAAAAGCCTTTGACTCAGTAAATATTCAAAGACTCAAATTAGCATTCCAGCGAATCAAATGCCCAGACATTATCATTCAAATTATCATGAACATCTGTGACAACAGATAAAACTATGTTATTACACTATTTTGACCCTCACTACAATACACAGTAGAAGATGAAATTGATCAATGAGACACTATATCACCCCTACTCTGGAGAATTTTTTATGACCCACTCTTATCCCTGATCTCAAAAACATGTAAGGGATATACCCTCACATCAAAAAAATGGAAGGAACCCATAGTACTACCAGCCATCTCAACCCAAAACATCTTATGCCTAGCATTCATGAATGGCACTACCCTAATAGCAAGCAGTCAAAAAAGACTACAAGAAATAAGCAACATCTGTTCAATCTTTTTCACAATTAATGACATTCACATCAACACATCCAAATCAAATCTTTTAGTTCTCAACTCTGCATATAATCCAAACAATCAGATCTTAATTCAAGAACAACCAATCACAATGCTCCCATCAAATCAAGCAATCAGAATCCTAGGAATATACCTGGAAGGCAAAGGAACAAAAACATATCAACAATATTTGATAAAAGAAAAAACACTTAAATATACCAAATGATCAAATGGAAAGCAACAACAGACAAGCAAATTAGATACTTGCATAATCAAGTCTGGACACCAATGGTAACATACTTCCTATCGAATATGGTCCTCACAGAACCAAACTGTAACAAAATCATAAGCATTTTAAATCCTATTTACAAACATAAACTCAACCTGAGAAAAACAGCATCCAACTCAATTTTACACAACACACTGGAATATAAATTCTTCCATATCTGGGACAGACAACTACTACTCCATGTCAAAAATTGGTACAAAAGAATAAATAGACAAGATATTATAAGAAAAATCACCAACATGTATCTACAGGAAGTATAAAATAGATGGTGATCAACCAAATCCATAACAAGTACACAATTCACAGATCCATTCCTACTTCAAGGGCACGACTTTACACATGATCTCCTCTTCCTCTTCAGACAACATAAATATACAGGAATAGCACAAAACCTTCAAAACTTTAAAAAAACAGATACAACCATTGAAGAAATAACAGAAACAATATGGTATAATAAACATAGAAAATAGCTTGCAACAAATCAAATCCTCTTTTTGAATCAAATTACCAACTACACAGGATCCAGATTTTTAGCATGGTTAGAAATAATTATGCAAACAAGAAACCCAACAGAAAAACACCCAACTGGTTCAAAGAAATCCAACAAAATCAAAAAATCTTAACTCTAATCGAAAACAGACAAACACATACACAAACCAAAAAAATTAACCACAGATTAGCAATAGAAATATCAAACCAAGAAATTAAATAGATTGCATCACAAGGTACCAATATAAGCATAATTGGCAGAAAGCCTGCCATACAACAAAATACAGTCAAACTTCAATACTATACCAGAGCCAACAACAACTGTTTCCCCCTTAAAGAATGTGCCGGGTACCCTTTGAACATTTCAGAAAAATAAGGAGAATGTATCTTCTACAAAGAAAAGAACAGCTTGATTAACATTATAGTCCACAAAAGCAAAAATAGCTCAAGAAACTCACCTTCTAAAAAACTTTATCAAAGAAGCAGAATATCACCTGACAGTCTCAACAACATTTTCAATGACAAATTTATACATCTGAATCTTCCTTCACCATTAACTATCCTTAACAATCAAATAGCGATTAACAAAACTATCATCAAAAGATACCTCAAAACAACAGAGCGAATGATCAAGGAATTGACAACAATATGTCATAAAATAAAAAATCTTTATGAAATTTCAGTCTATACAGATGGATCTTTAGACTCGAACCAGAACATGGGATTCAGTTAGCATATTATTCAAAGACCAGATACTAGCTTCCAAGGAAAAATAAATAAGTTCTCATCTTCCATAAGAGCAGAACTTGCTGCAATTCTTACCTTCCTTACAACAGCACCTGCCAACTCTACAATCATCATTTGTAGTAATAGTTAAGCAACCCTAGGTACAATCAACAAGGTACAAATAAACCCAGCTAATCTGAGAACACATAAAAACAACAACCTAATCAACTCCATAATTTATATCATAAAAAACCAAAAACTCTTCATAATCTGAAAAAAAATCAAAGTTTACAGTAATAACAAATACAATAATAGAGCAGATCTCCTGACAAAAGAAGCAACTATACTGGGAAAGGCATCTGAGATAGTATGTATACCAATTAGAAGCAACACAGTAAGTTGAACACAAGAATGGAATGGACACACTTTTGACAATACAATTATATCATCAATCAAATATTTAATTAGAACAAAACATATTTTCAACTGGAGAAGTCTTGATTGCAACCTTACAATAACTGACAGCATCTCCACACTAAATGACATTGTGTGGGAGGTCTCACTCATTAACAGGTCACCCTCAAAACTCATAACATGACCCAATAACTGAGAGAACCACAACAATAGATCCTTCAGATATAGACTTTGAAACTTTGAACTACCTACCAAGAACAAACTATACAGAAAAGTGGCAAACATCTATACAGATAACTAATGTCTCAACTGCCAACAAACAGAAATCAACACATATTGCATGATATGCAGAAGAAATGGAGCAGACATCTACAAAGAATTATGACAAATAATAAACAAAAAAGTCAGTAGTAGATCAAACACACCCACACAACACAACCTCAATAAAGAACTCAACAAACAAGCAAAACTCTAGAAAACAAAGTCAAGAATTACATAGCAAGAGACATCCTTACAATGGACTTAATAAAGACTATAAAAAAATATACACTGGCAGAACATTACAAGAAAACTATTAAAAGTATTATCAACAGATTCCTCAATATACAATAAGGAAAATAGAACCATAGATTTGATAACTTTATACAATGGAAAAGGGAACACAATATCACTACAAAAGACAAAAGGCAATGGCAATTCATAACCATGAAAAAGAATACACACAAATCCTGTATTCCAGGAATCAATGCAATAATGGCATATGATAGTCACCACTGGATTAACTGGAGCACAATTTATTTATTTAAAACAAAATTTTTATGGGATAGATAGAGCCTTGGCAAATTAGTCAAGTATATACTAGTACTTGGCAATAAACCACATGGTAGGAAGATTTCCTTAGTGAGCTTACTTAGATAGATAGAGTGATAAATTTGTATAAAATAAATTTATATATACTCGTCATAAAAACATCTAATAAACAAGGTGTAAGCCACCCATTCAAAAAAAAAATTAGATTTTTGATTTTTTGTTTAGAATATAACTATTTTCTCTAATTTCAAATTTTCTTATAATGATAACATTGACTTGACAGGTTAACTTCCTTTTATATAGTGTAGCAGATCATGAAATACAGTAAGTATTTCTCTATCAAACTTTATTTGAAAAGAAAAAAGTAAATGAATAAATAAATAGCAAATAGACAGACAAATAAATAGGTATGATCTGTTTTAATGCCTACGACGAGTTAATTAGATGTTTAGCTGTAGTATGTATCATGCTGTTCGAATGAATATGTACAAATAAACAAACAAACAAATAAATAAATAGGTAAGTAGGTACTGTATGTAGGCACGTAAATATAAATAGCAACACCTCATGATCCCCATTACCCGTTTCTTCGCCCCCTTTTTTAAAAACAGGTTGATGTGCATGAAAATCTCGTGAAATCATTATCTAATATAATTTTTGCGTTCAGTTTACTTGAAGGGAGATAAACGGAGCAGAATCTTTCTAGAAAAACTTTCAGAAGAAGGCGAAGTGAAACTTTACAGGCCAAAAAAAAAAAAAACAATACTCTCAAACCATCCATGATAACATATTGTTGAAATAGATACATTCTTTCTCATAGGGCAACCAACATTATTTTAATTTTGCGTAGGATTCCGTTACAAGATTAACAATAATATAAGTATGAAGATTAAGTCTTAAGATTTTTTTTTTTTTCAAAAAGGTGCCATTTACAGTATAACTAAATCGTGTGACTAATTCTTTCCTATTCTAGTTGCATATCTTTACTTCAAGGATTTGGTTCTTTGAATGGTTTCGATGGAGAAATACTGTATCAGTAACGAGAGTGGCTCATTGTAATGTGACCTAGTTGTGGTACCTAGGACTTTAGATTTTAACTTTTACTGAAATCAAAGTCGCTCGCGATTGAAAATTTAAAACTTGGCGCCAATTAAACCAAACTATATTTTCATTCCACATTGTTTATTAACGTTTGAATTTCTGACAGTTCTGGTACCGAGAATACATAATTAATTTATGGAGTAGTTCACAAAAAAATGAAATTCTTAAATATTTATTAAATATACGCGTATGACGCGCGTTCATGATCTGCATTTCAAATTCCTTATCATTCCCCCACATTATTCTATTAAGCTATTTTCTACAAATTCAACAAATTAACCACCGACTGACTGGTCTCATTTTCCGATCAACTCTGCCGCCTGCATCCACAAAATGCTAGGATCCCTTGCACTTTTTTCATCATAAAATAACCTAAAGTCGGAAGGTTTGAATTCAAATTCCATAACCATAGTATTATGTACGCTACTATAAACTTCACTTCCTGCTGCCGATGCAGACATACTCAGTGAAAAATCATTAGGTACTAAACTATTACTGGAATGATTTAAACCAACGTCATTTAACAACGAAAATACATCACCGGAATCGAGTTTGAATCCACCAGGGAATGAAGCATAACTGAGCTGATTTTGTGACAATAAACCTCCAACTGCTACAGTTTTTATTTGCTTCTTTTCCGCTAATATCTGAGCCAGATTGGCGCATGCAGATCCACAAAATCCATTTGTCAAAATAATGATATTGTCACGCGTCCAATTTAATGGGGAAGGGTTTGACCCCTGCACCGATTCAAGATTTTTTCTCAATTCGCTTTCATAATTAATAAAGAATTTCGATGAATAATTATTTTGTATGCCGCCGCGTGTAAACATGTTATTGCCAAAGAATTGCTGGACGGATGTAAAATTTTGTTCATTCTCAGCTCTTATGTATCCGTGGTAATCAAATGGAAATTCTGGAACTGGGGACGGGATAACTGATGCAGTTTTAATGGCAAGTCTGTAAAGATCCGAGAGTCGCATATCCAATGGGAAACTAGGGATGATGTCGGGAAACAAGAGCAAGGCGATATACTGAGAAACCTCAACAGTTCCACCACCGTTGTTACTCAAATCAAGGACAACCTATTCAATATAAAGTATAACTTTTGTGTCATTATTTAAATATGGAAAATGTATTTGCACGCCTGTGATTTACCTTCTTGATTTTTCTCTTTGCAAACGATTGAAATCCTTCATACAGATTTGTATACACGACCTCCATTTGAGTTTGGTCAAGTGTCGAAGTGTCAATCGTTGAAATAACGGCCACCCCGACATCACGTACAACGTAAAAGCTAGCGATGATGGCGTCCACTATTAGTTCCCCTTCGCTCAATGATGGTACATCGATTTCGCGTTTAGACCGATGAGTATGCACGGCGGATTTTGTGACGGAGTTAGCATTGGTATTCTTATCAGTACTATTATTAAACTTCACGCAGAATTGTTTACGATATGACACAGAGTCCGTAAAGTTAGTTAGCACTGCGCGTGTAGCTCCAACTGTCCAACGGCGATTAACCTGTTTTAACCAATCTCCGCTGCAATTGAGTGTGTAAGAGATGTATGGGGTTGGTGGTAGCTGTTGTCTGCTGGTGAATAGCCCCGAAAAGTCGGATGCCTGGAGGACTCCTCTCGAAAGAGATAAGGACGCGAGCGCCCTAAAATGTTAAGAAAATTTAAAGTTAATCGAATGTTTTAAGATGAGTCAAGAATTAAAGTGAGTTAAAAATCGCTAACAAGTTAAATCGAACTCCCAGATCCTTCGTCAACCCAACTTGGTCAAGTGCGAATTTGTTGATAACGTCTAAAGCGGGAAGGCCATCAATGCTAACCACTTCACAGTTAATGTTACTTGGATCGACCGAGTCGTTGAACACTTTGATTATCTGTAAAAAATCAAGGTGAATCTTACTTAATCGGTAATACGTAATGATCGGTAAATTAATGCACACTGTACTTATTTACAGTATGTACAGTACAGTACCTGCTTCCCGTCCCGTATGATTGAATACAACGATAATCCTTGGTCAAATAGAAATGATTCGTAACAATTGCCTGTCAGCTGGGTGTGGGCATCCGATAAAGCATTTATAACCGACTTGACGTCAGTCTGTGTGCGAATTAAAAGAGTAATTTAAGATGTCACGCACAAGGCACACGTAGAAAGATCATTTGCTTATTAATAGATATTCACATAAAAATCAAACTCGACTTCATATTTATTCTCTAGCAGACGATCAAGTTCAACCGCCAAATCCACGGGTCTAAATGTAAATCCGGGTTTCGGTTCTTCCTTTGCCTCGTCGAAGAACGCGTAGAATGCACTGAGGAATCCTCTTAATGTCTCAATTGTCTTTATCAGGAATAAATGGCAAAATTCAGCGAAAAAAAAAAAAAACTTCAATCTTAAAAACAAATCATACTAATAAATTGAGTTAACCTCTTTCGCAACTTCCGAATCATATGGGAATGATCGATAACAAGCGGCAACCTCTTCCCAGGTGGTAGAATTGGTAGCGTTCGTTTGCAAGAATTTGTCGTGAATTTCCTTGCACGCATCGATTGAATTTTTTGCATGCGACGAAGGTATATAATGGCAATTGACGATAGAATTGATGCACGTCAGAATCACCACGAAAAGTATAAAGAAACTCTTCATATTAGGCGACGCTATCATTTCTTTCTTTTTTTCCTTGAAAAAAGATAATATACAGTATATGGTAATGTAAATAAATACGTATATATGTATACAGTATATAGGTCGGATTCGTGGAGACCTAAGTTTTACCAAAGGAGAGAATGCTCCTATATATATTCTTTTTTTTTTCCTGTGGTTAATGCACGTTGGTTTGCGCATCAAAGAAGAAGGTACGCATTTCGCATATACGTGATAGTATATATCAATACTTTTAAGAACCCACATACATTGCGTGGTATCTTTATCTCCAATTAATCCCAATTGGCTCGATTTTCTCTCTTATTTCCTCAAACCCGCATGGTATCATTGTTTGTTCAACGGCTTAAACAATAGTAACTTGGTTGTTATTTTTGAAAAAAAAAGGGAGAAATGGTCGAAATGTTGACAATCTTGTCGTTTTGGGGAACGGATGTATACGTAATGCGTACGTGTCGCATTATTATTTCTTTTTATATGCGCGAAAACGCGATTCGAAAATTGAAATTAGGAATCATGTAGGCGAATTATTTCACCTTATACTGACTTTGGTATATACAATGATAAAGGGGAAGCGCAGTGTGCTATTAAATATGCTATGACCCAGTGTTCTTTTACAAATAAAATGCGGGATTTTTAATTAAAATAGAAAGATGAAAAGGAAAACACTGCATTCTATACCCGGGACTCATTTCTCCGATATACTGTAGATCTTATCTTTTGATTGAAGATCGCAACGCCGTATTGTCCGAAGTTCCAATAAATGTTGAATGACAAAATGAAACAAATAATGATGAAGTTCGGTCTATCACAGAAATAGGCTGAAGAGAGAATTACCGATGTAGAATAAAAAATGGAAGGGTTGCAAAGTAAATAGGTAGATATGCTGATAGATGGTCTGAAGATAGTTTTTGAATTGCAATTTACGCTTCTAAATGAATGAAATTTCAATAAGGCAATGTCCTTACTTTTTCGTCGTTGCGAAGTGAGTCGATTATCCAAAAGTTCTATATTGTTTAGAACTTGTATATAGTAATCCATGGTACATGATCCATTGAAACTGTACGCATACAGTATGTATGTCGAACCACAATTAGTATCTATCCTTTTATAGTTACATGCTACATGGGGTTCAATAAAATGGTCCGGATCGTTTTAAACTAATTTTGGTGACCAATGTCTTAATATAATTAATAAAAAATCATAGTAAACCTAAAAATAGGAATGACATACCTAAAAGGATTTTATTGTGTTTATCTATTGTATTACGAGACCAGAAACGATAAAAATACTGTAATTTTATTTTTAAAATATTCTGAAGACTTTATTCGTAATCGTTTTTAATATAACATAACATTATATATATTTTTTTTAACTAATATCTTTGTTTTATTTTAACTAATTTGAAAATTTGATCACTGTTATCTTTTATAATATACAAATAACATTCAAACTTTTATTAATCGTCCTATTAATTTTGCGATCTATTCTTACCAATTTCAATTCTCTTCTTTTTTTAATACTAGAAGATTTATGAGGTTAATAATTAGTACATATAATTATTTGAAAATTTTAAATTTCAATATTATTATAATTTCAAACTTAAATCTTGTCACTTTTATTTTTTTTTTTTAAATAAAATCATTATTAATTGTTAATTTTTACTAAAGAAAATTCAAGATACGAAGTCATAATGCGCGAGGTGTCGACCACATGATGATCGCGTCACGAAACCCTGAACCACCGTTGCGAAGCCAGAAACCACAAAAATCGAACATCACTTAATTTATCTTTAAGGCTTACGCAAAGATGAGGTACTAAGGGATGTTAGTAAAGTATAAGAAAAAGGATACAAACTCGAAGTATAAAAAGGTAAATTTGAACTTTTTTGATGGTGCGAACATTAAATAGAATTTTTAGATAAAAGATTATTTGAATGAAAGCGAAACTTATCTTCGTGTCAAATATTTTTATGCCTATATTCGAGTATTAATGGCTTTTGTGTGTTCTTTGGAGTCCTGTTACGCAAACCTGTAGAGTTGGCGACGGACTTGCCTATGTCCTCATGACACTATCCTAAAATTCATGGCTCATAAAATGATAATTTAATTTTCGTAAGCAATGATAAATTGACAGAATTGATATCATATATTAATTAATGCTTTATGATAGTACTGTAAATCATAATTTTATGAATGCACATTTGTAATAAAATTTGAAATAATAGAATTAATTAAAGTTATTTTATAAATGATACAAAATTTCGTTAACTATTATTAAAATAACAATTGTATTCAAGTATTCTTCAAAAATAATAATATAATCTAATATGATAGGATGAAAAAGTTTCTAGAGTTAAGTTTGTCTTGTTTATATACAGTAATTTGTCCAAACCAAATAATACCAATATATAATACAAGAAATATTGTTAAAGATCTGGAATTTAGATACAAAATGGTTATGGTAACAAAATAATCAATATTGGGATTATTATAGGCTTTTAGAATCTTCAAAAGACAAATTTCCTAGAGTTAATAATTCTTTTTAACTAAGCTACAAGTTTCTAAGTTATAAGTTAATTAGACTTCAAAATTGAAAGTTTTCAATTTTGCAATGCTTCTAAAAATTGTTTTCATTGTATTTATTATTTGTTATATGATTTGTTGAATAAATATTTATATTAATAACAATTTACCATTTAATTCATTAATTAATCTAGAAAATATATATAAATTAAAGCTATTTAATAATTCTTGTTTCTTGTAACATATTGAAAAAATCTATATCCAATCAGGATTTGCAATTCAGTTTATTGTATAATGTTTATACTAGATAATATCACATTCCTAGAAATAGTTTCTAGTAAGTTATTTATAATTTTATTATATAAGTAATTCATTTTAGATTTTTTTTTTGTATATTTTAGAAGTATTATTTGAAATATATATATTGCTAAAAAGAAAAACTTATCATTTTATATTTGTTATAACTTGTTTTTAAACTTCAAATTTTTATATATCTTGTATAATATATTTAAAAATCTTGGTTTTTATTTTTTATACAATATATAATATCAATTATCAAATTTATTTATTATATCAAAATTTTATAAGTAAAAATATGTCTTTTTCTTCTTTTTTTTATTCAGAAAAACTAAAAGTTCTTATTTTATCAATAATTAAAACTTGCTTTAAAATTATTTTATTTTTAAAAAGATATAGAAACTTTGTATTGTATTACCAGTTAAACAAACTTTAAAAAATCAATTCTAAAATTTATAGAAAGTTATAAAATTTTAAAGTAAATTTGTAAAATAAAATTAATACTGATATTACTTCTCTTATATAAATATAAAAAAAGAAAATAATAATTTTCATTAATAGATTTATTTACTGAAATAACTTCTTTAGTTGTAAAATATAAAAGCTTCTATTCTATCAAATAAACAGATCTATTTTTATATACTATTATAAGTTTGTTTCTTTATAAAGTATTTTATTATTAAAATTATATAATAACTATTGTAATACTTTTTAAACTAAATATAATAATAATATGATTACTTTCTAAATTATTACTATCATACTATATATTTTATTTTCTTTTATTAGATACTTTTATTTTTTTAAATATCTTTTTGAATTGATTAAATAGTTCTTAAAAACAAAATAATAATTTTGGCAATTAATAGTTTGATAGAATAATTTGAGATTTCTATTCTTTTTAGTTATAATGCTTTTTTAAAAATTGAATATTAATAGAATCAACATATAACTTTTTTATTCCTAATAAACTTTATTTTTTAAGATATTATAGATATAAAAAGAGTTTTTTTATTTTTATTTTATTTTTTTTGTATAATGTTTATTTTATACAATATTATAAATTAATACTTTGTTCTTTATTTTATATATAGAAACATAGTTTTTTTTTTTGTTTTTTTTTTATAATATTTCTTTTGTTTTTTTGACTTTTTAGTATTTTCTTTTGATATTTTATTGTTATATAGTAATTTTTTTGTTGAATAAAAAATTATAATAGAAAATCTTTACTAATTATTTTATTTGTTTTTATTAAAAGTACTTAAGAATTTAACTATAAACTAAGTAAAAGCATATTATTCTAAGAACTATTTAATAGTTATGTAAACAAGAAATATAGACAAAATATATTTATCCCAATCCTATTGTTTTCTATTAACATAATCAATAGTTTATATAATATCTTGTTAAAATATTTTATTAATTTATTTATTTATAAATAATATAAAGTAGATAATAGATATTAAATTTTAAATTTTTGTAATTAAAAGTTTACAATTTTATTTTAAAAATATGTTTTTTTTATCTTAAAATATTTATTTTAAAAAGTTACCTCTATAAGTAATAATTTGATAAATAAGGCAAATTACTTATTTTCCTATTGTCTCTAATATTACATTTATTTTAACTATTTAATTAAACAATATATTTATTTATTTTTTTTTTTTTGCTACTGTTGAAAAAGGTTTTACAATATAAATTACAATCTTTGAAAATAGTTTTCCAAAAATAGAATATAATAGTTCAAAATCTTATATTTTTCTCTTTATTGATATTTATTATATAATTTAATATATACCTTAATATCTTCAAACTTTTGAGTTTTATAATATTGTTTTTTGACTTTTTTAAGGACTTTATTAATGCTTAAATAAATATTAATAAAATTATTATATAATAAATATACACAGTAGTATTGATTCAATTTTGTAATATTTTAAGAGTTTAATCTTTTTTATATAAAGTATTATTTTTAACTTTAAAAAATTGACTTTAAGTTTATAGTTTTACTATTGTATCTTATCAAAATTTACTGATAATTTTTTATTTTTTAAATAACTTTAAGATAATAATAATATTAAGTATACTGGTTAAAATTATGTTATTCAGAAGTTGATTTATTACTGAATTTGTAAAATATAATAATAAAAAGATTGATGAATTATTTTCAATTACTATTAC